GTGGAGGGAGATGATTTCAGAGGGGAGACAAGTGAAACTGTGTAGGGCCCTGTGGGACTCTGGCTCTCATCAGTGAGTGAGGGGAGACTTGAAGGGCTCTGAGCACAGCTGTGATGTGTATTTTACAAGGATTTGTATTTCAAAAGGACCATGTTGGCTACTGTGTTGAGACTAAGCTGTGGCAAAGGGTGAGCATGGAAACAGAGAATCCAGTTAGGAAGCTACTGTAATGATCCAGGTGAGAGGTGTTGGAGGTGGTAAGAAACAGGAGTTTCTTGAAGGTATGGCCGATAGGATTTCCTGGAGGATTGCCTACAAAGGGTGAGAGAAAGCTGTAAGTCCAAGATTTGTGGCCTGTGTACCTGGAAGGATGAGGTTGACATTGACCAAGACAGGAAAGACTTTGGGAAGATTGGAAGTTCTGTTATGGATGTGGTAAGTTTGAGATGCTTAGACATCAAATTAAAGGAATGGAATAGGCAGGTAGGTATACAAGTCTGGAGTTTAGAAGAGAGGTCTGGGCTGGTAACATACAGTTTGTAGTTATTAGAAGACATTTAAGTGACATTTAATGCCAGAAGGCTCAGGATATTTAATGCCAGATACTAGGGAACAGAGTATCCCTGAGATATAGAAGAGGTCTAAGGATCGAGACTGCAGCTCTCCAATGTTAAGAGGATGAGAATGTGAGGGGAAATCAGCAAGTGATTCTGATAAGGAAAAGCAAACGAATTAAGAAAGAACAGTGTCCTGGTAGCCAAGTGATGACAGTGATTCAAAGACAAGGTATAGGGGCACCTGGGTGGCTCAGTCGGTTAAGCGTCTGCCTTCGGCTCAGGTTGTGATCCCAGGGTCCTGGGATCGAGCCCGCGTCGGGCTTCCTGCTCCGCAGGGAGTCTGCTTCTCCCTCTCCCTCTGCCTGCCGCTCTGCCTATTTGTGCTCTCTCTCTGTCAAATAAATAAATAAAATGTTTAAAAAAAAAAAAGACAAGGGATGATCAGCTACATCCAATGCTGCAGCTAGATCAAATACAACAGCACCAGAAAACTAACCACTGGATTCCGTAATGTGGAAATCACTGGTGGTCTTGACAAGAGATGTTTTACTGGAGTAATGGGGGAGAGAGCCTGACTGGTGTGGATTTAAGAGAGAACGAGAAGACAAGAATTGAAGACAACAGATAGAGGCAACTCTTTCGAGGAGTTCTGCTGAAATATGAAAGAAGACACCTAAAAGGTCTACAAAATGGAATTTGTCTAGGTTTGTAGTGGTAGGAGATATTGCTGACATCTTTCTGGATGATATCAACCAAACTAGCCCAGGGCACTTGTTCACTGTGATCTACATACTTTACTATTTAAAAGTCGCACATATAGCTCTCCAGGAGAAAGGGTGACAGGCTGGATTAGCCCTTCCTTTAAGCTCCAAAAAGAGCTACTCTGTTGGCGACCCATGGAACACAAGACACAATTGTTAGCCCTATGTATAAGCATGAAGCCACCTGCAAGGCTGCCCACAACTGCAAAACCATCTCAGTGTGATCATCTTCAATGACAAAGCTAACTTCTTGGACTGCATGGTAGGTACTATTAGGGCCTTATCTTTGAGGTACTGTACCATGTCCTCATCTTCTTGATGAGAGAATTCCAAGGTATGTTACCTCTTCCTGACCCCACCCTACAGTTCTACCATTAATTAAATGCATGTGGAGATGGGACACCTTCTTTAGGAAGTTTTTACAGTGGAACCCTAGCTACTGTATCTAATCTGATTCTCCTTTTTAATGCACTGAAGCACGAGTGACTCTCAACCATATGCATCTCTAATTAAGAACTTCTGTACTAGAGTAATTACTGTAACTATTTCTGCTAATAAACTCCTCAATCTCTTTGTTTTAGACTGTGCTATTTGTTCACAATTATTCACCCTTGCTTCTCTGTAGGTACAGTATAATTCTGTGTCCCATTATCCTTGGGACAAAGATAGCAATGTGACTTGCTTTGGCCCCTGGAAAGTGAGTAGCCATGATATAAGCCATTTTGAGCAAAAGCTTAAAATATGCTTGTGTGGCTTAGCTCTTTGCCCCCTTTTTGAGCATCTGCCCTCTGCCATGAGGAAAACATGGCCTACTGGATGCTTCTTCAACCTGGGCTCTGGAATGAGGTAGCATATAGAAGCTGGTCAAGCCCAGAGTCCAGCTAAGCCCAGAAAAGTGGCAGCTGGCCAACATCATCATGTAACATGACCAGGTATAAATGTTTCTGATTTTAAGTCACTGAGAATTTGGGATTGTTTGTTCTTATAGCAAAAGCTGACTGATACACTCTTATTAGATTGTCAGATTCCTCAAGTAAAAGGACTATATTTATTTTTTATGGTATGTCCTCATACCCAGAACAATGCTCTGAAAGTGTGGGCTCCTAATAATCATGTATATTAGAGGGTAAGATTCATTATGTCCACTGTAGTTTGGTTGGAAGTTTGGAATAGTTCATAGTTCCTATCACTGACACATTGGCTGCACCATCATATTAAGCTCCTTAAAGTCATGTTCAAAGTTATTCTCCCCTTCCTTCTCATTCCTTGATTTTAGCCTACTGAGTTATGGCTGACTGACCAAGAAAACCCAAAGAATTTAGGCTTCACAAAAGGGAAATTGGATCTTGGCCATCATATTCAGTTGAACCTTGAACAATATGAGTTGAACTGTGTAGGTCCACTTACAGGCAGACTGTTTTTGGATAAATACAGAACAGTACTGTAAATGTATTTTTTCCCACCATATGATTTTCTTTCTTTTTTTAAAGAATTTATTTATTTATTCGAGAGAGAGCATGCACAAGAGAGCACACGAGCAGGGTGGGGAGGGGCAGATGGAGAGGGAGGAATAGGTTCCCCACTGAGCAGGGAGCCTGACTCAGGGTTCCATCCCAGGACCCTGGGATCATGACCTGAGCTAAAGGCAGATGCTTAACTGACTGAGCCACCCAGGTGTCCCTGTATGATTTTCTCTTTCTTTCTTTCTTTCTTTTTCTTCTTCTTTTTTTAAAGATTTTATTTATTTATTTGAGAGAGAGAGAGCATGAGATGGGGAGGGGCAGAGGGAGAGGGAGGAGCAGACTCCCCACTGAACAAGGAGCCCAATGCAGGGCTCGATCCCAGGACCCTGGGATCATGATCTGAGCTGAAGACAGACACTTCACTGAATGAGCCACCCAGGCACACCCCTATATGATTTTCTTAATAACATTTTCTTTTCTCTAACTTACTTCATTATAAGAATATAGTATAACACCTATAAAATATGTGTTAACTGTTTATGTTATTGGTAAGACTTCTGGTCAACAGTAGGTTATTAGTAGTGAAGTTTTGGAGGAGTCAAAAGTTATACGTTAATTTTCAACTGCGCAAGGTGGGGGTCAGCACACCTAATCCCCACATTGTTTAAGGGTCGACTATACTGTTTCCAGTCCTAGATGCCCTAAAATGGTTAAGGCCAAGTAGAAAGAATCTGTTCCAAATGTGTTTGTGTGGCTTAGCTCCATGTTCACTTTTGAGACAGACCATAGACTTTGCCCAAGGGGCTCCACTGCAAAGAAAACATTCCAACTCTTGCCTTCATTTATCTAGTAAATTCCCCTAACTTGTAGAGACCATTGTAGGCATGGTGCAGGAACAGAGACAATATAAGCCACAGTTCTGGGCTTCCAGGGGCTTATAATGTAATTGAAAAGATGGGATACATTTGTAAAAGTCTAAGACAATCAAGAATTTTATACTAGCTAATCCTTTACAAGAAGTTGTATAGGAGAGAAAGTTGGTTTGGAAGTCAGGAGACCTGACTTCCTAGTCCTGCTCTGCTGCTGGTTAGTTAGGTTTCTTTGGGAAAATATTTTCACTCTTCTGTGCATGTACGGAAAGAATAGAACAGGTTAATACAAGGTTCTTCACGTTTCTATGGTAAGGGCTCGGTGTTCAGAGGACGTCTTTGTTTTCCTGTCCCCTGCTCCCATCTCCAAGCTTGTATGGTTTCAGCCCAGTCATAGGGACCTTCTCTACCTTGAGTTATGGACCAGATCTGATGGAGCTGACTTGAGAGGGAAAAATCTCAGCATGCAAGTCCAGAATTATGCTCAGATCGCACCAATCAATCAAGGAGGAGTGGAATGAGGAGCTCTCTGAAAGTTGACTTAATCCCCAAGAGCAACTGGGGCTGTGTTTTGTTGGGGGTGATGCTGGGTGCCCGAAGCTGCTGTTTTCAGTGCCTGGGGTTCATCCATAGTGGGGCAGGCTTCTGGAGGAAGAGGTAGAAGAGGGGCTGTCCACTGGACTGATATCTGGATAGACAATATCTCTCCAATGCCCTCTGGCCTGATTCAGAGAGCTGAACACCCTCCACCCTTGGGCAAAACCAATTCTCACAAAGGCAGGCAGCCTGTCCATAAATAGGGCTTCTGAAGCCGGAAATGTCCCATTTGACATGAAAGAAGGAGAGGGTTGAGAGAAATGGCAAATAGAACTTTTTGAACATCCACTGATGCTTTTCTGATTGTTCTTTGGAAAAATACAGAAAGTAGAGATAATCTCATTGGCTAAAATACCTTGACCCTGAGCCTCAGGGATTAGCCTTCTCTGCTCACCAGGCTCCTCTGCTGCAAATGTATTTAAATCCCCAGCCCAGGGCCTGGGGGTAGGGGGAGGGAGTGGGGGCGGGGCTCAGATGGCCAAGGGATTTCTTTCTCCGGGTAGCCTGTCTTCATTTGGCTGTTTGGCTGCTATGGATTCTTTCCAGGAGTTTACAGGAGCCGGGGCTACAGTGTGTTCTCATGGACTCACATCAGAGTTAGGTTCTTTAAAGCAAAGAAATTCATTTAAGAAAAAACACTGCCGTTTATATGGAATCAATTTTCCTGGCAAAGTGCTCCTGGCAACTCAGCACAGGACAGCAGGGGGTGGGTGACAAGATACCACTGTGAACCAGAAGAATGGCTTTACTTACTTGGGACTCCAGACACCAGGCGCAAGGGGCGCAGCACACGGAATGCCCTCAGTGCCTTCACGTCAAATCCAGCTCCTTTCCCTCCCAGAGCATTTGCCCCATCGGCTTTGGTTGCTTGTTCTAAAATTGCACTAAAAAGCCTAGAAGAGAGGAAGGGGAGACGGAGCTGTCAGACCCTGAATTCTCTGGAGGAAGCTTGGGAGAGCAGAGTTTGCAGGCATCCCCAGCCCAGGAACCAGAGCCAAGGTGTGTGCGTGGGAGGTACTGTGACCATCCTAAGATGACATCCCTTCAGTGTGGGTATCGCCCTGCCAAGGGCATCACCACTGCCCAGAGAGGTCTGAGAGGCGATGGGCAGGCCCTTTGCAGTCATAAAGCCGTGCACGAACACAACTGGTTTTGTGTAAGCTGGGCGGCCTGGACAGAAGTGTAAAGTTGCTAAAGTTTGCTGGAGTGTCTCCGTCCCTTTGCAGTGCCCTCTCTCCACTCCATGGTTTCCTAGCTCCTGCCCTCACATGGCCAGGAACCATACCCTCTCTCGTTCCCACACACCTCCTTACTCCTAATGATTCCCCTTTGATTTTGCCTGGGCACAAATAGAAGATCCCATAGACATTGGCTTTGTGCTGCAGATACAAGGATGGGAAACTAACCACTGGCTTTAGCAACATGCAGACTCCTGAGACTTTGAAAACAACTGTTTTGGAGAAGTGATGGGGACAAATGCCTAATGGATATGGGCTCAAGAGAGGATAGGAAGAAAAGTCCGAGATAGCGCTAATAGAAATATGATGCAAGCCACAACTATGAGGCATATATATAATTTAAACTTTCTAGCAGCCACATTAAAAAAGTAAAAACAGGCGAAATTAACTGTGATAATATATTTTATTTACTACAACATAACCAAAATATTATCATTTCAACTGTAATAAATCCAAAGAATTTTTCATGAGATGTTTGTTACTCCTTTTGTGCTAAATCTTCGAAATCTGCCATATATGTTACATGGACAGCGTGTTTCAACTCCGATTAGCCACATATCCTGTACGGAGTGGCCGCACGGCTGGTGGCTAGTGGCTACAGTATAGACAACACTTCTGAGGAATTTTGCTGGAAAAGGTAGTAGAAGAAAAAAGATGGTTGCCAGAAGAGGGTGTGGAATCAAGGGAGTCGTGTTTGTTTTTAAATGGGAGATCCAGCGGCATTTTTATATGTGACGGGAGGTATGCAACAGAGATAGACAATCTGACCATGCAGAAGAGAGAGAACAATTACTGGAAGGATTGCTGTCCTGCAGGAGGCGGAAGGGATCTCTTGCACCCTGAAGGGTACTGGCCCTAGATAGGGGAAGGGTGGTTTATCATGGTTCAAATGGGAAGGTACATCATAGGGGTACAGATGTTCTCCTTGGTTACATGTGTTTTCTCAGGGAAACAGGTAGCAAGGTCATCGGCTGAAAATGTGAATGGGGAGCAGGTATTGGAAGTTTAAAGGGGGAGGCTAAGGTATAAAAGACTCACCAAAGGAAGTGGAGGAGTGAATGGAGTAGCACATAGAGTAGGGTTGCCAGGTATCATCAAGGACCTATTTGAAGTTTGTGGTCACAAGTGTCAGGTGAAACCCATCAGCCTCAGCTTTGCAGGTTTCTCTACCCCTTTTAGTGGCACAGCTTCAGGTACCAGATGGATTTCCATCTAGTTGGATTTGATTAGGGTTGGTGTTTTTCCAAATGAGCAAGGTAAGTGAAGAGAGGAAGAAGGAAGTTGACTGTACACACAAGTGAGAGATTGTGATAGGGCTGGGCATCTAAGCTGGTTAAAAGGAGGACTGGACACAACAGGCAGAGGAACAGAGAGTATGGGACAGGATGAATGGATTGTCAGAGTCAAAGTGCTAGAGGGAGTAAGCTGGAAAGATGGCTGGTAGTGTTTCCAGAGCAGGGTGTTTGGTTTGAGATTATGGGGGAGGGCACGGCTATTAGTTACTGCAGGGATATTGGCTATCACCATGGGAGTGGGCATCTGAGATAGGATGGAGTCAGGATCCCTGGGCGGGGGGTGGGGGGTGTAGATATCAAGGAACCAAGAAGCTACTGGAGGGGACAGCAGGAATAGTGAGGCTGGAGAGAGTTGGGAGTGAGCCAAGAGCTCCTGTCTTCAAGGAATGAGGAGTCCCCAGAGGCCTAGAAGGGGACCCCATAGGGAGAAGTAGGAGTGGAAGGGTTTGATCACACACATCAGAATCAGAGGTGACTAGGAAGCGGGGAGGGCCAGCAGTCTGAAAGCAGAAATAAGAGAAATGCAGGGCCCCTCTCCTGACCTCCTGGCTGTGGAACAAGGCATTTGGGAGAGAGTGGCCATCTCTTGAGAGACTGTGATGGAGTAGGACCCTTGGGGGAGCCAGGAGGTTAAGTGAGTGGCCAGAGACAAAGCTGAGGGTTTAGGGCAGCCCTTGGGCCACTCGCTCTGTACATGGAGTTTTGCTGGAGCTCAGCTACACCCCTCATTCACATACTGCTGCTGTCCATTGCTGTTTTCTCGGAAGAGGTGACTAGTCGGGACAAAGCGCACAGCTTGTGAGCTGAAAATGCGTATCTGGCCCTTTACAGAAAATGTCTGCTGACCCCTGAATGGGCAGTGGGCTTTGGGGAACACAAGGCACAGTGGAAAGGTTTCAGGGGGATGGCGAGGGAGAGGGGGCACAGGGTTCAAAGAACCACGTGGGAATGGGAGCCCGGAATTTTGGGCTTTTGTGGTAACCAAGAAAAATAGGGGAAAGGACACATGGGGGCAATTTCTGTCCTTTATACGAGAGATGACTACCAACTCACTGTCAGCAGAGTGTGTGCTGGGCTGTGGCCGGGGATCAAGGGGGAAGCCCAGGTATCAGAACTGGGGCCCCACATCTGACCTGCATTCAAGGCCAGGGCAACTTCGTTCTTGAGGAATAGGCTTGAGCTCCTGAAATGACTCATGCCCAGGGAACTGGATCTGGAAACACAGGAGGCTGCAGCTGGGGGCTTAGCTTTGCAGAAACACAAATCTAGGCAGGGCCCAGCGAGGACGGGGTTGGTCTAGATGAAGGATTTCCAAACTGTGCTCCATGGAACTGCTTAGGGACTTCTTGGGCAGCGAGGCCAGAGATAAGTGGTGGGAATAGAGTGGCTTTTGTGGCTCTCTGAGTAAGGCTTTGCTTGAACAATGGGTTTTGTAGCTAAAAGAAGTTTGACAACTCTGGCCAGACCACATCTAAAGTCTTTCTCAGCCCTGTGATTCTTTCAGCTCAGCTTGGCAGTTTGATGGTGTCATATGTTAGCTGGTGATGCCTTGAACCCCAGGCAGAGTTGCCAGGATGGGGGAAACGGGCTTCTTTCTCTGCAGAGAAATGTTCTTTCCACTGAAGTCTAGATCGCTGAAATCTTAGAAAATGGAGACCAGTTTGCAAGTTTGTCAAACAACATTCAAACCAGATTTGGTTCCTAGTATTTCCTGGAAGAAAGCAATACGCTTATTAGGGTACAAGATGTTCACATAATATTATTTATTGAAGGGAACAGAGGTTAGACAACTTTCTTTTCTTTTCTCTGCCCCAACTTGACGCAGACACTTTATTAAGTGTCTGATTTTAATTTTGAAAAGGTAGAAAATTCAGGAATGGGTCTAGGAAGTGTTCTTGGCTTGTAGGGACTGGTGTGTTTCTCCTTGATTAGATACTGTAAAGCTGAACCCACTGCTTTGTGCCTATCTGTCCCTAAGGGCTGGGTTCAGATATGGATGCTTGGCAGGGGGATTCTTCAGGAGTTGTGTCTGGCAGTTCCTTAGCTGGACTTGGAGCTTTTAAAAAGAGGACAACACAGCTCTAGAGGGCCCAGCAGTTCAGAAAGGCAGAGCCATCATACTGGGAGAGAGATGGTAGCAAAAGCCCTTGCAGCTGGAGTAGAATGTCTCAGGCAGGGGGATCTAGTGAGGATCCCTAGGTCCCTGGCTTGAGGTGGGGAGAGGTAGCTCACAGAGGCCTCTGAAGTCCTCCCCACTTTCATTCAGCAGTCTCATCTCCCCACTGTACCAAGGACACCCTTCCACTTTAGGAAGGAAATGTGACAGGTCTGTGGGGGTTAGGCAATGCCTCTTGTCACAGGACCCCGCGTGGCAATGCCGACATGAGAGAGCAGCTCTTGGCCTGGCACTCAGGCAGCAGGCAGGCAAACCCGGCTCTCCCAGGGCAAGGCAGATTCCCCTCTGATTGTAGGAGAGCCCAAGAAACCGTCCCCTAAGTGGCTGCAGAGGAGGGGCCCGGGAGAGTAGGTATTTCCCAGGAGACATAAGGGAAATAGACAGATATCCATTTACAAAAAAAAAAAAAAAAAAAAAAAGGGCAGGAAAAGGAGGCATAGCAGTAGAGAGGAGGTTGCTACACCGTGTGTGTGTGTGTGTGTGTGTGTGTGTGTGTGTGTGTGTGTGTGATTTTTCAAGTTAGAAGGATGGGCCAAGATTGAGACTAGACAGAGAGCCGCTAGGACCAATGCCCTTGGAGAAGAGAAACTGGGTGTCAAATATGTCCGTGCGTGCTAGTAATGGGGGAAAAGCCCAACTGGTCATGTGAGCCACAAGCTAAGCAACCACTAGCATCAAAAACTCTGTGGCTTGAACAGCCAACCAGAGGCATCTTTTGGAAGAGGGCCAGTCTGGATGCTTTCCTCTTCATCAGCTTCACGGCCCAGACCCCAAAAAGATGTGACTGAAATCTGGGCTGACCCCACGAAGCCTGCCCTCTGCGGTTACCGGGAGGAGCAGCAGGGCGAGGGGTAAAGCAAGGTCCAAACAAGCAGAAGACGCAGACCGCAAGGCAAGGCATCTGCTCCCTCCCTCCCGAGCTCCGGTTTAAGCTCTGCTCTGTGCTTCCAGTTTCGACCTCCCAGGCTGCAGGTGAGGCCCTGGAGGGGGCAGAGCATGGTACGCAGTCAACTCTAACTCATTCCATAAACGTGAGAAGAAGATATAGCTTCTCTGCCAAAACAAAATTAGTCCCTGAAGGCACCCTTATCTCTCTATCAATCTCATTCCTGGGGCTCTTTTCTAGGCATATGTGAAAGGTTCCCCAGAGCCCGAGGCCGTGAGAAAGACACTGAATTTGAAAGGATTTAGGGGCATGTGGAACAAGGCACCTTAAATGCCTTTGCTATGGTTTACCGGAGTTAATTCAAGGCATTTGTTTGGTTATTCTTTGTTTATCCGGGTGTGAACAAAAGCAGCAAATTCTCTTATAACTGCATCCTCACTCTGAGTCCTCTGGAGCCAGATCTATGCCTGGCAAATACTCCAATAACTTTAGTGCTTCTCATGTCACCCAAATATCCTTGGTGTTAATGTGGCCAAAGTGTGTCTTTCATTGGCTGTGCAAAAAAAGACAACAAAGAAAAACCCCTAAAGCAGTTCCAAACAACCCTAATAAGTCATTCAGATGGCCAGAGGCAAGGAAATAACTTCTCAATGGTCTTGATTTGCTCTTGTTATTTCCTGCAGGAAAGACCAGACACTCCCATGAGATGATGAGCAGTGAGTGCTCTGGAGGAGTCCACAAGGACCTGTCTTCACTGGGATGGCACAAATGGTGCCAATCAAAAATAGGTTCCTGGGATATGGGCCCAGTGACATATTGACCTTGACGCTGAAGGCTAGCGGAACTCCACGGGAGTAAAAATGCAAGGTGGCCACCATGTGACCACTCTCCAGGCTCAGAGAAATGACAGATCAGCTCCGAGAAGCCCAAGTAGAATCTGCTGTAGGGTGCCCTCCCTTCACAAAAGAGAGGAGCAGTTAAAACTTCATCAACTGTGTCTTAATGAACTACATTTCACATAGCACATGTACAGGATCTTTTTGTAAAGTTGCTAACTCCTAGATAAGGAGATCATCACTTCCGAATTTTATTTATGATTCTTTACATTGCTTTTTTTTTTTAAAGCATATATTGACCTTGATTTATCTCATGCTACAGCGGAACAGCGTGTTTGGGGAAGGTGTATTTGGTTCTACTTAGGCCACCCACGACCTTGGCCCTTCAAAGTTCTCTGTTGTTTCCTCACCCACTTATCTCAAGCAGCCTGTTTCCTGGGGCCCCCGATGAGGCCCACTGTAGAGGTGAGAGTGGGCATCCATGGCACCTATGCCAGCTTCAGCCCCACCCCCATGCCCATGGGCTGCTCGCCAGGCCAACTGGACGAACTCTGCTCAGGAACACAGCAGGGGAACTGGTTCGAAGAGCTGTCGGGCCAGATGTGGTTGGAGATGGAATAAAAGACCTCAAGCAGAGGAATCTCCTCAGCTGCAAAGAGGATGCTGAGTTCCATTAAAAGCCCTCAGGTTCCACTCTGTGTTGTGGTGTGTGTGTGTGTGTGTGTGTGTGTGTGTGAATGCACGCATGTGAGCATGTGTGTGAGGGAGATGTTCTTAAGTAAGAGCTCTTTTCCCTTTGGAGAAAGTCTGAATTCAAAGTGACTTTTAATGGATCCTCTCATCTTGCCTGGTGCCCAGTGCAGCTGTGACCAAATAAAAAAGAGATACAAATAACAGAAGGAAACAGAGGCACATGTTGGTGGATAGTAAGGGGTGAGGGGAGGGAAGAGAGAAAGGTAGTGATACTTACCCTACAACCACAATTATAAAATCTAGTAAATTCCAACCATTGCGGAGGTAAGCGTTGGGGTGAAAGAGAAGTCCATAGGCTATTACTTTTAGAAATGCTTCCACAGTAAAAATTATGAGAAAGAGATATTCCACTCGTTCCTAGGAAACAAAAATAGAAGGGAGAGAAAAATAAAGTCAATGAGATCGGGGATCTGGAAAGTTCTGAACCAGCAGATCTCACAAGCAGGTGGAGGAGAGTGCTGCCCACTCTGTGGTGGGATCTAGGAGGACCTGGGTAGGACCTCCTAGCCAGATTACCAACTCCCCAGTCTGTTCCAACCTTAGACCTCCAATTCATTGGGCATTAAGGGTTTTTTTTAGTCTTCGAATGTCCCATTAAAATGCAAATATTAGGGTGGTAGAAAAATGACACATTTTGGAAAAACATCTTATTTAGTTAATCAGTGAATGTTTCATTGTACCTTCTCAGAAGAGAACTCATAATGTCTTGATCTAGAGGGAAATGATGCCAAGACAGAGGAGAACAGTGCTCAGAAAGGAGGGGACAAAACCACAGGAAAAGTGTACCGCCACCTTGAGGTAACAAACCCTGAAGATAAAGAAACCATCTTGGGGGAGTGTACTAACCACATTCTCCAAACTGATAGACCAGGAATACAGCCGCAAAGAAGTTGAGACATTGAAAAGCTCCTAACAATGGTTGAAACACAGGCAATCTGCTCATATACCCTGACCCTGAACTAGAAGTCTCTCTCTTTCTTGAGAAAATAAAAATCTTTGTCCAAAGACAGACCCCGTCAGCTGAGAAAATCAGCATTTCCAGGATGGAGGCAGGCACTGGGGTGGGGCAGTGAAGAAAAAGGCTCATCTCTTTTCTCAAAGGGTGGGAGGTAGTGTTTTTCCTCCCTTTGCCACCTTGAAGAAGGCTTTGCATTTGAGGATGAAGCTCCTGTCCCTGGGAGCCCACACTTAACAGGACAAACTCGTTGGCTCAATTAGAGCGAGCTGACTCTGTGTGCTGATTCACTGGCTTCCCTCACCACTAATTGCTTTCTCCCACAACCTTGTTCCCAGTGCAGAGCCTTAATGGCCCCCACCAGGCAAAGGCTGCCTGGATGCCTTCATGCTCCACTGCTCGCCTCTGCAGGAGCCTCAGCCCATCTCTCACTGGAGCCACAAAACACTGGTCCACATGGCATTCGGCCACAGATCCTCCAAGCAGGACAGGCCCAGTCACAGCCCCCAGGAAGCAGTAAGCACAGAACTCCCAGACCTATCTTCCCATCCTGTGTTGGGTCAGATGGAGCTCACCTGGGAAGGCATACTCGCTCTTGCCCAGCCTGCTGGGAAGGTGCTCCAAGCCCAGGGGCATTGAAGTCTGATGGGTAGCTCTGTGGGGGGAGGCTAGCCCACACATATACCTGTGCTCCCATCATTCTTTCTGATTTGCTAGACTTGGCATGAGTGCAGACCTCACTGTGCCCAGCTCCGGGTGAAGCAGTTTGAGGAGGCAAAGTTTAAAAATGCAGAATTCTGGGCCCTACCCAGACCTATTGAGGCGGATCTCCTGGCTATGGAGCCTGGAAATGTGCATTGCAGATGATTCCAGGTGTTTCTGAGGCACCCCGAAGTTTAAGAACCAGTAGCCCATGTGCCGATGAAGGCCCTGATCAGGCAGTAGCTGTGGGAAGGGAATGGAGAAGCCAGCATTAATCTGCACCTCAGAGGCAGGATTGTCTTTTACTCACTACCTACTACAGAGGTGGGGTGGGGGAGCATGACCCAGGAACAAATAACAGTATGTGGGAGCCTCTGGTCTTTTAAAATTAGGTGATGTTGGGTTAAAATGGGTTGATTCGGTTGATGATGGGTTAAACCCCATCAGGACGGAGTTGAAAGGGAAAGCATGTGCAACCTGAGGGAGTTTGTGGAAGGTGTGTGTGTGTGCAGAGCTTCAGGTAATGTGGGCATCTGATCAGCTGGAGTGAAGGTTACGGGGCTGGAGAGGTGGGTAGGCGCAAGATGACCAGGGGCTTTGGAGCAGCCCCTGGGTGCTCGGATTCTATCCTGAGGAGATAGTGAATGTTGGAGTCAGACGTGTGCTATAATCTGGCACCAGTCTAGAGAGTGAGGGTGGCGATGGGGGTGGAGGGAGTTGGGGGGTGACCCATGCAGAGACCATGGAGGCTTGAGCCAAGGTAGACAACGGGATTGGCGAGAACTAGGTGGGTTTTAGAGATAGAAAGAAGGTAATTTGGTTTCTGGCTGCATGTAGGGGTTGGGGAAAGACACAGCAGAAGTGCTCCCCACCCCCGAGTTTTCTAACTTGGGCGACTCTGGATGGTGATGCCTCTCACTGCAGTGGGGGACTTGAGGGGAGAGCCATCAGTTCTGGACTTGCTGAGTTAAAGCATTTGTGGGACATTTGTGGGGTTACTGGTGATCAGACATAGGAGGTCAGGGGGAGTCCAGCTTGCAGGGAGGGCTGAATGAGGTTGCCCAGGGAGAGCGTGCCAACTAAAGAGAGGAGAGATGAGGCTGGAATCCCTCTCAGTAAGGGGCAATCTCATCCCTTGGAAAGCACTTTCACATTATGGGAATGTACCTCCTTGGCAGAAGTTATCCTGCTTAAAGCCATTGAGTTGGAGAGATAGAATCTTAGAGGGTATTTAATTAACCTCCTCACTTGAAAACCCAGAATGCTGGTAAGATACCAAGGCCAGGGAGGTATGTGCAGAAGATGGGAAAGCAGATTCCCTGACCCTTGGTCCAAAGGTCCATTCATCTCATCTCGCTTTCCTGGGTGCCAGGGGAAGGTTTCTTCCTGGTCCCCGCTTATCCCCAGAGACACAACTGGGTCAGTCCTCATACTAAGTTGTTTAAGGATCTGAGATAGAACTGGAAAGGGTCCAGGTGGCCAGTAAGAAGGGGTCTGGACAAAGAATCCTGAGAAGGGGTAGGTGCCTGTTGCCTCTGAGCACGTGCGCATGCTGATGGCTCTATGGTATTCATTCTGACTTTAGGGATTGAGTGCCCTTGAAGTTAATCCCACCCACCGCCCCCCAAACCCAAGAAAGAAACAAACAAAAATGTAAAGAAGTGAAACAGCTTGGTTGATCCTTTTAAAACCTATGTTGTGTTGCCACAGAAACACCTAAGGGCAAAAATGAATGGAGTGGAGAAATGCAAAAGTTTGTCCAAGACCTTTCTCTTGCTGTGCTGAGGTCTTGGTGCCTCTGGTCCTGTGAATACACACTTATTCATAGCCCTCCTCCTGCCTGAGTTCTGAGGCCAGAGCTCCATGCTCCCCTGAATCCTGAGGGACCACAGAGCTCTCTGAGAATGCACAACACTCAGCCTGTGAACTGCCCCTTTTGATCTGTGATTTTGGGAACTCGGGAACTTTGGAAGCCAACCTGGGAAGTTCCTGTTCCTCCTGTTCTGTGTTGACCCTGGAAAGGGTCAAGGAGGCATGCAAACCTGCAGATGAGAGGACGTCAAGGCTGGAATGGGAATATGCCGGAATGGAGTCCCAGGGCTCCTGGAGGACCCCCTTCCCAAATCAAGGGTGAAGCCCTACCTGCCTGGGGCAGGTGTGATGACTTCAGCCTTTCAGACACTCCTGTCTTCCTTCCTTCCTATCCAGGGCTCTTTCCCCTTACTGCTGCCTTTCCATTTTCATCTTCTTCTCCCTTCCTTTCCTCTCTCCCTGCTCATTTCTCAGCACTACTGCAGGCAGCTGGTGCCCATGGCAACACCCATGTCTCAAATATTTAGAAAAATTCAGTGGAGAGAGCCTCAGATTCCAGGAACCACCACGTCTTCTAAAAACTTGTGGAACTAATATACACTGATGAGTACAGTGTTAATTTTAGTTTTCCCTTTATCTTTTCATGTACATGTATCCTACCTTTCATTCTATAGGACAGAGACTCAATTATCTTTTGATGGTAATAATCTTAATTCTGGTACCACTGGCTGTGTGTCTTTGGGCAAGTCACTTTACTTCTCTGGGTCTGTCTCCTCGTCTGTAAAAGAACTAGCTAAGCATTAAAAAAATGCAGTGTTGCAGAGAGCCCTGGGCTTCCACAGTGCTGCTCTGGGAGCAGTAACAGGTTAGGGGGGGCTTTGCTCACTGACCCCCCGCCACCTTGAACCAGAGCAGCACCATTTGTACCCACATGCTAAGTTGTCCAAGGATCCTAACACAGTTCAAAAGAGTCCAGGGAACCAATATGATGGGGTGAGGACAGAGACTACACAAGAAAAAGAAGTAGCCATCTCTGACTAATCTGGAAGACTTTTATTGGCTTTATAATGCTGGTTTCTGCATTAAGATTTTATTTGAGAAGAAGAATCACTACTTTGTTTGTTTATTTGTTTGTTTTTCTGGGAACCTTGAACACCAATTCCAAAGTCGTAGAGGACTTCCAAAGTCTCTTCAAAATTCTATGGCAAGTGAGGATACCAATCCCTGGTATGTGTGCGGTTCTGCCTAAGGCATAGTCAGATTCCAAGACATGGAAAGGAACAAAGAGTTCCTCTCCTCATTGTTCTGAGGATCACTATAAATACAAATAGATTTTATAATAAAAAGGTCCTTCAGTAAGGAGATCATTAATATTTGTGCTTTAAGAGAACACAGACTCCTTATGAGCAGAAGCCATGCCAGGGTAGAGCTCTTCAGACAAGAACAACAATGGACAGCCTGCCATGTCTATACACGTGTGCATGCTTCTGCACACACACACACACATGCATGGCACAGCTGGGTGATGCCCACCATCTGTGTTGAACACTGCATAGCTTATACCTGCTGTATAACAGACCAAGGTGTGAGAATTCATACTAAGAGAGCCTGTGTGTATTCACTTAAATTTATGCAAGTGTATTTATTGGAGCTGCCAAGATTTCTACACCAAAAAGAATTGATGAGAAGCCCAGTCATACAATTCCATCTCAGTACAAGGTGCAAAGACAAGAAACACAATAATAATGTGTCAGACAGCACCTTGTATTCCAGATTGTTTCATAATTGAAGTATCATTCAACCTGACCTCTAAAACAGCCTCCTGACTATTTCTAATGAAGGGAGATGAAGAAACTGGAATACCTCAGTTCCTACTCTTCAATTTTTC